CCCCCAAAACCCCAAAACCCCAAAACCCCATTGTTAAGGAAGTAATAGAAATAATAGGTAATAGAAAATAATAATAAAGATGAAAATTTGGCTGATATTAACCATTTGTATCTGGTTTCTCCAACCTTCTGAAGGAAGTTTGTTCCATGAAAGACTACAAATTCGACAAAATTTTACGAATCTGGTTTTGAAGCAGGATGAAGTCATACAATTCAGGCTGAGTGACTATTTTGGAGGCTCAATGAATGAGTATAGCTTAAATATGACATTACTCCAAGGAGAGAAGGATGAAAATATGTATAGCGATTTGAAGAAGATATTCCAACTAAACGAGCCTTACAAGTCAGCATTGAAGGAAGAGAATATTAATACCAGAAATCTTCCTCCCCATTCAGATATGCATGTACTAGTAATTATCCCAGAGAAAACAAGGGTTGACCGGACGATCATTGTTTTTATTGATGAAGAGTTCAGATTCATAATGACTGATTTTACTGACCTCCAATTAGTGAATGCAAGGAATGTAGGAACTCTAAACTTGTTAAGAGTTCTAGACCATCTAATGTTAGCTTTTCGGGAAACAATAGATGAAGATAATTACTGATTTTATGAGTTTGTTAAAACTCCTACTTTATTCCAATGTGCTGCTGATGAAGGCTACAAAGGAAAACTTGGACTCAGCCCTGCTGATGTGTATTGAAATGGACTAACAATGGTTTTGCATAACAGTGCTTACATGGTCCCATGTAACATTGATACCACTCACTTTTTCTTATGGATAATCACCAACCCAAGTGGAGATAGATTCCACATCAATGCTTTTGTTCAGAGAAACAATGACATTATTAATGGACACAGGAACCCTAATATGATTACTTCTTATTCCAAAAAGTCTCCAGGTAAAAATTTAACATAAAAAAATAGGATATTTTGGTGACAGAACAAGAGCGTATATATTCCTGTCGTCAATTAGGTACCGCGAAATGATCCAACTGTTCGTGTTTGATATTACTTATGTTCAAGATCACTCAGTCAAATATAGTAAGCTTCCATTAATCTTTAGTTTATACCAAAACCTATAATGCAGATTACTTCAGAAAGAGAGGTCAAGCAGTTAGTTCATTCAACTTAAGAGGGATCATAAATTATGAGATGTTTTATCCAGAAGAAAAGGAGATTACAAATCCATTCTACATAAATCTTGTAGTCAGTTGCATCAATAATGGACTGATGTTTATTCAGTTTAAAGAAGATTTTGGGAATGATACTTACACCCCTCCTGATGATTTAAAGTACGAGCTGAATATTACTTCAAATACTCACTTTACCGGGATTGGAAGGTTATTTACAGAGAAAAGCTTTAGAAACACTGATGTTGATTTTAACTTCTTTGCTACTTCACAAGCTCCCCCAATAGTGTACCAATGGACAATTGACAGTAACCGAAATGTCAAAACTTACAGAACACTTGGATATGATGCGTTTAACTTGACTGTCCAACGGTATATTGGTATTGACGACGTATCTGTTAATGGAAACTATATCGCACATCTTCTTTTTGATACACACAACTTCCACCAAGTTGTAAGGATCTACTACAGAAATGAGACAAACTTTGGGTCTGGGCACACTCATATTGCACTTTATGAATTTAAAACCTTTGTGAGTGCCTTTACATTTGTGAGATACCAAGACTGAGATCATATCTTTATCAGAAACATGAATAGGATGGAAGCTTTTGAAATCAGGCCTAGCTCTTTAATAATCAACACTTATGATTATCCTGAGGAGTATAATGCCTTGACAAACAAAACATTTTTGATTACCATTCAGGCAAAGAATGATTTCTCTTTTCTGAAGGACCCGAGTCTTTCATTCGAAGTCAAGTTTACAGATATGAGAGATATGAACGTGTACCGAATAGCTTCTTTGAATGAGACAATCTTCCTCCATGCCTATGGTGACATCTCTTTCGAAAGAGTTATAGATTACTTTTATAGCGGTCCTAATAAGGAATTCGGCATCAAACCGAAGACGAATCTAGAGCTCAGGTAATATTTTGACGAGAATAAAATTATGTAGAATTTGGATATTATATTTTTCAAAGAGCTTAAAGTAAACTTTATAGACCCTTCATTTATATTAATTATTGTTTGAAACTAAAAAGAAAGTGACTTCAGTAAATCTAGATCTCTTTCTTGCACTATTACTAAACATTAGCAAAGGGATTCTATACAGATCTTGAAAACTTTTAATAATGAAGCCTTTCCAAAGGATGTTCACTGCCATTTAAAATTTTATCGGATCAGATTCTTAAAATGTAAAAATAAGGATTATCTCAACTAACCATAAGGAAAACACAATAGTTGAATTTTCCGAAGAAACCTACCTTGAGTAGTCCCATATTTTATATGTGCATCTAAGATAGGAAAAAGACCTAGTCTGAAAATAGAATGCCTTTATGGCAAAAATCAACATAACTTACCAATTTTACTCATTCTGAGATATAGGCCTGAGAACAAATTTGAAACTAAGAATTACTTGAACTCAATTATCCGTGAATTACAGGAAGACTCTAATTGTACTAAAAGTGTGTTCTCAAGGTGGAAACATCCAAAGACAGGCAAAGAATCAGTCTCTTTCTTCTGTATTGGCACTAATATCATTGAAAAACACGAGTTTGATGCCATAGATATGGTCCAAATCGACTTTAGGAGAGATATCTTCCCATTTGCCAACTTCATTGACTTCTATGTCTATGAGAATGAAAACACAAGAGGGAGAAGACTCAGAATCCTCAGTCACGAGCATAGTGAGGAGTGGTATCCTGCTTATTATATTCATGAGTTCTTGTTTACCAGAAATATGCTAAGATGGAGAAGAAGGACGAAGATTCAGTAAGTCTCAAAATATTACAGCTTTATAGAATTGATGGATACACTCTTAGGGAATTTAATCCCCTGATCGATATTGATTTTGGATATGGCTTCAATGCTTTAGTTGATGCTTCAGAGAGGAACGTCATTTTCACAACTATCAGGTTTAAAAGGCAGAAAGCAATTGTGAAATCAAATAATAGAGTTCGAGATGTTCACCCATGTTGTGGCATGAACATTTACTTCAGTCATTATGGCAAAAACTATGTCTCTTCTTATAGGTTTTTCTATTACTTTGATCAAGCTGAAGACAGTATTGAGGCTAGGCTAGAATTCGTCAAATATATTAGATTCTATGATGTCTATAAGGCTTTTGATGTAGATAAGGAAGGAAGAGCAGTCCTATTCTCAAAAGATAATCAAATTGATTTGATGCAAGCTTTTAGCCAATACAATTTTGATTTTGTCAGAAGATTCCCAATGTATAGCTTTAAGAATAAAGTTAGATTTGTTATTTGTGAACAATCTGGAATACCTCTTTTCCAAATGTTGGAGAACTCACTGTATGTATTAATGTATGATCAAGATAACCCATCGGATAAGAAAATCTTTATATACAAGATGGATACCCCTTCACATAACTCTCTTTTAAACCTGATTGATCTTGACAGTAAGTTTACTGACTACCCTCTATCATTATCAAGTGAGATAATTAGAGGATTTGATACTGTAATAATCTATCTCTTCTTTGATGGGAGAATTTATCAATATATTGAATACCAGAAGGAAAACACTATTGTTCCTAAATGGAGAGACTGAAATATTATTGTTGACCCCTCGGATGATAAGTCTTTTCATCCACTAACAGTGCCTTTTGAAATATATCCCATCAAGACTCATCATACTCAGACAGTGAATGAATCTCATAGGATTAATATTAATAGCAGAAATATTGGATTGGTTGTAAAACACAGGAATACAGATGAAGGAGTAATCACCAGAATTCATGATGCATTCCCAGTCACTCTTTCCTTGTTAGATTTCTTTGATGGATTCAATATTTCTTACAAAATGTCTGAAATATCAGGAGGCTCTACTGACTTTTCTTGGACTCTTTCTGGAGATAACATAGAGAATTACTTATTAGATGCAGTAAATGTAGATCAAAAAGTGCTCTACTCATTCCAATACATGTAAGCCTGGATCATATAATTTTTAGCATCGATGGCTTGGCTCATCTGGTTGTGATTTACACAAATGATTACTTAATGGAGGTAAATCTAGCTTATGATTCCATAGATCTTCTGACTTGAAGGAGGAATTACCAAGATTGATGGAGATTACAGTTATAATAAGTTCTTTGGAGACGATGTTATTGTATTTGCAAGCTATGAGTGAATAGAAGAGAAAAATGCTTCCTTCCTAGTTCTCAGTACTTTGAAGGATACAAACTTTTTGGGTCAAAAATATCCAATCAAGCTCTTCAGTTTTGAGATTACTAAAGACTACAGAATAAGAACAGAATTGATGATGGAGAGACCACATAACATGAGGTTGCTTAGAACCATGATGACTGCTTCTACTCTTCAAAGTGTTGACTTTGTCTTCATATTCCAGTCTGATTACAGGTTTATTTCTGACTCTGAGATAACTTTCACAAACTTAGAGTGCCCTAAAATGCATCATTGTGAGTCTAAAGATGAGCACTCTATTAGTGGAACTTTCTTGCAGTTTGATGACTTTGTTGTAAACACCTTTACTTTCCTCGGTGATGAAGATACATTTGTCGCTATTGGTGTTGATAACTTTGGGTTTATTGTGATGGACTTGATAACTGGGAACATTGTGGAAGAAGTACCCTTTATTGATTATTATCCTCATCTCCCTAAATTCTCCATTCTGAAGTTGGTCAATATTGCTAATACTGGGATCAGAATACTTTTGGCAAATGGAAATGCCTTCTCTTTTATCTGGGACAATCTAAGTAAGCGTGAATTACTAATTACATAGGGCGTGTTGGAGACGGTAGTATTTTTGAAGCACCAAGAGCCTCTACTTCCTTCCTGGATATTTCTGGAGATTATTCTTCTCCATTAATTCAAGAAATTGATGGAATTGGGGTAGCTCAATTAGTTTATTACAGACAAAGCAATGGCTTCACCTCTGCTTTTGTGAGGATATACAATTCATTTAACAGAGTTAACTCGAAAGTGTTTCAAGAATTCTCTTTAGGAACGGTTAGAGAGTGTGACACTTTGTCTGTGATAGATGTTGATAAAGGAATTTCTATGACTTGTGGACCTAATCTTATTTTACTAAGGATCAGTATTTACCCATTTTTACAAATTAATGCAACAAATGCTGCTCCTCTGAGTCTAGAAATAGATGTTGGGAACCATTTCTCGAACACAAAATTAATAGTGAATGCACGAAATAACAACATTGGGTCAAATATCCCAGGATGGCTTCTCCTTCTAATATTTATGTGTAGCTTGATAGTTCTCTTGATGGTGATCCAGATCTGTTGTAACTTGATTAGCAAGAAGAAAGATGGAGAAGAAAGCTCATTAATGGAAGATTCGAAGAATGCTACGAATAAGAGTGTTAAGGCATCAGATGAGAGTACTGATGAAGCTTCTTCAGGAAGTACTCTGCTTCATACAACAATTAGGACTTCCTTCAATGCTAGAGAGGTTGCCAGTTCAATCTTTGGCAGAAATGATTCTGCTTCTTCCTTCAAGAGTAATGATATGATTGTGATGGAATATGATGATGAAAAAGAAGAGGAACAACAAAAAATCAGAGAAGCCCAAGAAATGAGAATTAACAATACAATGTCAATAGAATCTGATGTAAGTTTCAATAATTCATATAGAAGGACTCATTAGCTGAGAGTGTTAACACCAGTAGGCAAAACAGGTTCAATAATTTGGAAGTTATTGAAGAAGAAGGAACAGAGGATCTTTATAAAACAGGGAATACATGCTTACAATAAAGAGATCTCATGATGAAGATGAAGCTTTGCTTTTATTTTATAACTAACTGGTCAAATCAATTATGGTTAGCTTCATATTTATAAGAATATTAATCAGTCTATCCCATAATCTGAGGGGTTTTGGGGTTTTGGGGTTTTGGGGTTTTGGGG